TKGGGRAAAAAAAAATAGAAAAAAAMCCCGTCATCCTCCTACGCTATACTCCACTGTTGTTCTGACCTCACCAAAACATCCTTAAAAATTGCTAAGACATCAACCCATAAATAAATCTACCTTAAAAAACAAAACAAGAAACAACAACAAAAGACACACAAGAACTCTGTATCACAGAAACTAGCCAGACTGACAACCCCAAAGCAGACTGTTGACATTCTCACATTTTCCAGGCTGAAATAGGAGACACCCACCCTTAGCACAGAAAATGGACTGTGGTCACAGYACATGCCTGCAAGGTAGGAAACTCGGGTCAAGTTACTATACAATTCAGAGCCTCATCTTTAATGTGGATGTCTCAGAGCTCAGATGCATTCTCTAATCATGGGCTCATCTTTCATAGTCACCTGCTGGGGCTTCAACTTAAGCTAAGTGATCTGAGTCATGGGGGAAGACTGGTTGCCTTTCCAGATTGGCAGCTGGAGCAGGATTTGCCACATTCTGGCTGAGGGAGTTATGGCCTGCCAACTCATGTGGCTTATTTTGTCTCAGGAGATTCCTAGCTGAAAAATAGAGGTGGAAAGAGCTTGATTCTCTAATGTGTGCCCTTGGTTTGATGGGGTAGGTTGTCACAGCCTTGCTCAGACATGCTGGGTTTAAAAGGGACTGTATTGCCCTGTTGTATGTGTCTACTCTAACTTAGTCTTTGGCCATATTTGATTGCAGTCAGCCAGCCTGGACTAGATGGTGAAAGAGTTGGCCAAGAGGGGCAAGGTATTTGCACCACTGTCCACCGTTGCTGTGACCTSACGGACTAAACAGTTGTTTATTAGACTTCATTAGAAAATTTGAAGGCATTTATTTTCCTATGTGAGGGTAGAAAGGGAAGAATCGTAACTCAAATGGCAGTGCTAGGATGGTGTGTCTTTTACCAGCTGTTTGCTGAAGGATATGTTCCAAAATATGAACTCTTCTCAAATATTCAGAATAATCCTGAGACGCAAGACTTAAATGCATTAAGAGGCATTAGTAAAGACTGAGAGATTTGGAAATATAACAGCCTTTGATATTTCTGTACTCGTTTCTAGTCAACACTGTCAGCTTCTCATTTCTTATATGCTACACCATGGTTCAGCATTTTATCGTATATATGCAGGTTTCATGTAAATGGAAGGAAAGATGTCAAAGTCAAAACAAAACAAAGCACAACTCAGGCCTGGAAARTAATTATGCTTTTCCAGTAAACCACATAGATAATGTGAGTGATGGTGAGTCATATAAGGAAAGCCATATACTCTTTATATAGCATGAGGATATCTAAATTACAGTACCTTTCAGGTTGAAACCTCGGCACTGAGTCATAGGATTTCCATGTCTCACATCTTGCCTACGACTCCTCCTGAAATATTGTGCAAACAAAAAATGTTATTCCAAGATAGTTATACTTTTTCMTTTTCACCTAGGTCCAATATTAGCAGAAGTTTGCATGTCCTACATGTTTTTCTACTGTCAGGCATACAGAGAAGACACCATTTCAGAGAATAACGAGTTTGCCAACAACCAACATTGTGAAGCTGTTGTACTTTCTGTAGGTCTATAGATGGAAGAGGTCGAGCTGATACAGAAAACAGCTTCACAGCAAGGTCTTTGGCCATGTTTAACCAATATCAGCCAACATGGAGTASCTGGGGATAGCACGAGTCAAAAAGGGCAAGGTATTTGCTCCACTGTGCACCCTCACTGACTGACTAAACAGTTATACGGACAGAATAAAGGGACTTCATTAGAAGATTTGGAAGAATTTATTTTCCTGTGTCAGAATAGGAAGGGAAGAATCGTAAGTCAAAAGCAGGGCTAGGATGTGTACTGCTATTCTAGTAAAGCTCAGAGCCAGAACACTTAGCTGGAGGCCTTCGTAACGGCAAGCACCGAAGAAAGGGACTCATAAATCCCAATTCTGTTTTCTATCAAACTGACAGGAGATGATGCCAAAGGGAATATTTCCTCCTTGATTTTGGCACCTTACTTTTGATTGCATAACCACACAATCTTTTAAATTATTTTTTACCAACTCAACACTGTAATTTAGCAGCAGAGAGCTCTCCAAAATGGTGGAGAGCTGAGGTTCAATTCTGTTGTCTATCTTAGGGTATGTGAGCTTTTTTGTTCCAGAAGATGCACAAACTTTTAAAGTCTCAGAATACTTCCCAATGAAACTTTGCACTATTATTTGGATGACAGATGCAAAATCATGATCTGCTAGCAAAGTAGCTAGGGAGCTCACTGAGATGAAGAATGCAATTATAAAGTCATTCAAATCCTCAACTTATAGCCTGCATTTAATAATTCCTTGAAAAAAATATATGATCAATTGAAAGGACTGATACACATTGAGTCTTCCTATAGTTTAGGAAATAAAGGTCGCAGGCCCCTTGGAGGGAGATATAAATTGGATCTACATGTTCTATATTCTAGACAATGGTCCAGCTGCTGTATTTCTTGCTAACAGAGGAAGATAAGCAGTCCTTCAAAATGCATCTTGCAGAAAATCCTCCTCCATGTAAGTAAGGAAATCTATGTAAGGATTTCTATAGTTTGCTGAGCTGCACAGCATTGCCACAGCTGAGTAAATTCAGAAACACAGATAGGAAGAATAGGACAGTTTTATGTTCCTAAAKAAGTTATAGGTTCTATCCCATCACRTTCAGTCCCAACTTCCTTTCTTCCTATCTACTGGTGAGGGATTTGCTACAACTCCTTCTTAACCTATTCCAATGGCAATTCTTCAAAATAACAGCAACAACAAAATCACTTTCTTTTTGAATCTGTCATTTCCTTCTATCCACTGTATTCCAAAGTATTCATATTGGTAAGCTCCCTGACAATAGTGTGTCTCATAATTCCCATTAAAGACCATGGGATGCTCTTATAAAAACAGCAAAGGGGAGATGGTTAGGGAGATCTCTCTTCTATAACTGAACTTTATCTATATCATGCTGACGACATCTTAACAAGCAAASAAACAAATTAGAAGTTATTACTTAGCGCAGCAAGGAATAAAACCTGGCTCATCTGAAATGGCACTCTTCTAGCAGGTTACAGCTCACAGAATTCAATACGAATTTTAAAGATAAATTTTTATTATCAAGTTGTATTGGTTTGCTTAAGATTCATAGGTTAGTATTTATCAAATGTAATGAAAAAATATATTCATAGTAAACTCTACTGCAAAGGGATGCTTTCTGGATATGTAATAGCCATATTTTCAGTTATGCACTAGTGACCTACAAGATCAGAAACCATAAAAAGTCCCCAGAGCTCCAGCGCTGCAGAGTGAAGGGTGATGTCTCTGTGGCCTTATTATATCAGACACTGCACAAACATTGAGAGACAGCCCTTATAATCTCATGTCACCTGATGCTTCACTGCATTGTTTTAAAAGGAACCATGTGAAAGGTAATCTTTCAAAGCAGTAATTTCTGACATTCCAAGTGTATTTTTAATGCTTACTACCCTAAATTTCACATTATGACTTCAGCTCTTAACTCTCGTGAACTGTATAAGCGAGTCAAAAGGGACAGTGAAGAATTTCTCACTGAACTTCAGAATCCCTCTGCTGTCACGAGCTGCTGCAAGCTAACAGAGATGACATGCCTATTGCAGTAAACTAATTATGTGAGGGTAATATCACGGTGTGATATTTATCTCTGCCAAAAGAACAGAAATATCTGGTTGAGAAGACGCTGTTTAGAAAATGAAGATATGGTCAGGTAATTCATGGGAGACAGAAGTGGTAAAAGAAGCAAATGAGGAAATATGTCCAGCAAAAACACTAATGTCTAGGCTATGGGCCTTAGCTCTAATTACTAATGTTTGTTAGATAAAGAGTCAACTAATTTCATTAACATCTAAAAAATATATTTTTTATATGATCCCTGGTGTTTATTTTGGTTTGAAATAAAAAAAACAAATTGCAAATAAATAAATAATAAGTAAGTTACACAGCAAGCCTCAATGGGAATAACTATGGGGATATAATAGAGATGGCAACGAATGCACTGGAAAAGACTGGGCATACTTGACTGCACAGTCACGGTCAGGTATGCTAGTGGGGAAGAGGGGTGATCTGAGACTTGAAGAGTTTTCCTTCCTTCTGACCTCTGCTTCATGGAAAAAAAAAATAATCAGGTCGCAGATGGGAGGTTGAATTGGCAGCCAAGTGAATGTCAGGCCAGGTACTTCATCACATCTTTGGTTGCTATATGGCAAGACTGTAGTTTGCTCTGTAGTCTGCAATAAGAACTGCTTCAAAAGGAAAACTTCACAATAGAAAAGTAATAATCTTTCATCCCAACAGACAGCATTGCCATAAGCTGGCTGGTTTACCGGAGCAGAGGCAAGCTTTGTCTATTTCTGTCTACCAGCTCCCTCCAATTTGGTAAAGAAGCACATTAATGGTACCTAGTCTTGTGCATTTGCAGCTTGGATGCAAGGATTTGTGAGTAAAGCTTGGGCATTCATCCAAAAGGCTTTGCTCCTTTGCAGTAATACTTCATCATATATTATGTAGCTTTGTTTGCATATTCAGTGAAAACTTAGTAACATGAGATCTCACTACGGCTCCCTGCTATTTAATATTTCCCTTGGGAGGAGGAAAGAGGCTCCTGTTTTGCATAAGAATTACGGGATGGAATATTAGCTGTTGTAAACTAAAGAGAAATTGCTTTTCCTGTATGCTTTAATGAATGTCACATCAAAACTCCCAAATCTAGCAGGCATTGCACTGAAATCAGATTTACCTAAAATTTCTCTGGAAATAGTTCTCTGTCAGGACTAAATAAGTAACAAAAAAATAAATTACTCCCTAGACAGCCTTAGAGATATTCTGAAGTATTTAGGAGGTATCTTAATTACATGCATAGTGCACAACTGAATTTAAACAAAGGAAACAAATACATTTCACTGACTGCACATGTATGAGAGGGAAGGATTTATGATGAGGGAATAGTTCCCTCTCCATTTCTTTTTATGGTCTTTAGATTTGCAATATTAAGAGGCAAGCTCTTAACCATATACTGCTTTAGCATATACTCCTAGGTGACATACAAGGCCAAGCACAATAGCCACATAGGTATTGTTTGTATTGATCCATAAAATAAATGACATCCCACCTCTATATCACATTACACGGCCTCAGGCTACAGAAGAAAATCCCTGTACTTTCCTTGCGGACTTCCCTGGGCTGTTAATCCCGACTCACCTTTTCCCTGTGGGATAGAACCGGGAGCAGGAATTGCCGTCCCAGGCGCAGTAAGGATCCCGGGCCAAGCAGCAGTCAGCGCAGGCGGTCCCATAGATATGGCAGCGATGCAGGGACACCTGGGTGACCCCCTCCTCCGAGCTCACRTACAACTGTTGCTGAATAAGGAAATGGAAAGATTTATTTCAGATGTGAAGCTTGGGAGAGGGGTTTCATCCAAGATGAAGCTCACACACCTAAAAACCTTTCAGTTAATTTTGGAAATAATTCAATACCAAGAGGGGAACTGCTAATGTATGTAAAGCTAAAATAAACAGAAACCTCCAAGGTGGATAGGCCTATAATATTTCCACTTTCCTGTTAGAAAACACCTAGAAATACCGAGGAATGTTAATGTTTTTTGGGACATTGAGTGTCATTGTTCTGCTCTGGGGCAGACAAGCTGAGTTAATACTGCTTAGATTTGAGAACGTGGTTCTTATTCAGTAAGGATTATTGGCTCAAACCTTTGAACTAAGTATTTTCTCTGCGTATACTCACTTAAAGTAAATACAATGCAGAGCTCCTGGTTGGATTCTCCAGTGCATAGATTTCCAATGCATAAAGCCCACAGATTATGCTGGAGCTTAGACATAAGACTTATATTACTTGAAGAGTAAGCCAGCAGAACTGGTGTGGTGAGAGCTTTTGCAAAGGAAGTTCAAGCGAGTAGGTCATCATCAGAACAGGGGCCAGAATGATTCTTTTATTCAGAAACAATTAAACAATATTTCTGAAAATACAAATTAACCATGAACAAAAACCTGGAAATCTATCCCCCCATATCATTTTGTCATAAAACTAACAAGTTACACTCAGTTTATGGTATTGAGGAGTCTGCACTTGTTAATACCTTTGTAAAATATTTAGCACCATTTTGTTTGTAAAGTTATGGGTACAGATTAGTTTTTTTTTCCCTTGGCTCTTCAGCATTTCTGTAAGAACCCTCTTGCCTATGACGATCAAGCACACTAACTAACTCCTTGACAGACAAGCATAGTTTCACATAGGCTCAACATGGAGCCTTTCTTTTGCATAGACCAGCCTTCCAAAGAAAAGTTTCAATTTATGAGTTATATAGATACGGGAAGGTTTCATGTCTTTTTTTTTTTTTTTTTTTTTTTTTTGAAACTCCTACTTTTTTCTTTCTTCCACCTCGCCCCTTCTTTTTCCCTCTTCTCTTCTCTTTTTCCCTCTTCCTTTTTTTTTTTTTTTTTTTTTTTTTTTTTTTAAAAACCTTGCCAGAAAACAAATCAAAAATGTTTATGGCTCTGAGGCAAATACATATCCAATGTAAACTTCAGAAAAATTTCTTGGTATTCACCAGCTGAAAATCTGCCTGCATTTAGTATGATGCATCACAACTGGTATTGTAGTGTCTTTTAATCAATTTCATTCTCAAATAATATGCATTAAGTAAGCTTTCAATTTTATTTACCTTTTTAGATGAAATCTTCATGGATGTTATTGGAGAATTACTCTGAAAGACAAAATTCCAAATCATCCTGATAAATACTCTCTTGATAGTACTAAAATGAAGTTTGATAAAATGTCTTATCTAGGTAAACTCTAACTTTGAACATCTTGGAAATGCATCACTTACTCCTACCCATTTTTTTTCTATTTTCAGAGTAAAACAAAAGACATAAATGTAATGAATATCTCACCAAATGTACTGGTTGAATTAAACTGTATTATTATTMATCACATGCATCAACAGGTTTCTGTACACATCATGTCAAACTGTATCTTTGTTACCAATACAGGAGAAATATGTGTTTTCAATCCATCATTATCACTTGAGAGTAAGAAACAATGTTTGTTATTTGAAGCTGATGATATGGAAAAATTATACAATAGCTCATGAATATTTATCACATGATCAAGATAAGAATATGTCCTATTTCTTGTACATATTATCTACAGTGCATACAGTTTGGTTGCCAACCAGCACATACTTTCAATTTATTAATGACTTGCATATTAAAAATGGTGTGTGTGTTACCAAATGATTACTTCAGACAGACAATTCTGTATCCTACTGTATGTCAGCATTGGAGTCTATTACTCTTTATGTCTAAACAGTATGTTAAAGAACTTGAAAAGGAGTTATCATATTTCCTGCCTTAAAAACTGTATTCATTTATTATTCTCAAGATAATAAAAATGATCCTCATTTTTTAAAGCTTCGCATTCATTGTCACAAAGAAAGGCCCATACCGACGGGTCAGGAATAATTACAGTGGATTGGGAGCTAAGAGGCCACAACTAAAGAATCTGTGCGCACATTGATTGGTAAAGATCTGAAGAACTTTAAAGCTGCGGTAGTGTTCATGACTAACTGGTGGTTAGGAGACTCAAGTGTAGTTCAATCACAGTAATGGATCTGAGGTCACATTTTCCTTTCCCTGCTTCTACTCCAGAAATTAATCTGTGCTTTKCTTGCTCTTACTAGCACCAAGCTGGGGATCTCATTGCTCCCCTCCTGTAGAGGGGAGCAACATACTGCCACCTGACCTCCGCGCCCTACTGAATTGTACAGCTTGCCATGGCAGAGGTGACAATATCTTGATTTTGAAGATATGGATAAAAATGTCTCCGTACAAAGGTGCAGGAACTTTCTATGTTTAGGGTCAGGATACCTCCAATTGCTGTGTTAGTTTATATCTCTGTAAATGGAACTGGTAATACTTGGCTGAATCCTATTCTGTATGTAATATTACTCATATAACTATTTTTTTTTTTTTAAGAGAAATCTTCAACTCTTCAACACAGATCCAGGTGGAGTGGTAACGCCTCTGCAAGGGTTCACACCGAATGTTCTCTTTCATGGAGAGATGGGTTTTGCTGCTTGTATAGATAAACTAACTTTCATTTTTTCTTTTTTTCTTTTGTATCTCATGTGTGAAAAGAGCTTGACAAAAAAAGTCCAGGACAAAATCCATAACCAGACTTACAGATGTATAATACCACTTGCCCTTATATTTAAGGTTATTAATTAATTAATTAAGATGTCCTAGCCTGTTAAAGGATAGCCCATTCAAAAATTTGTAGAGACTTTCTTTAGCATGAGGGTGAGCCTTTCCTTTAGGTTATTCAACTGCTACATGCTAGAATGACTGACCAAGGCTGTTTTGTTATTTTTCCCTGTAGCTGTTTACATTTCAGCTTATTTTGTGTTAAGCTCATAGCTTTTTTTGACTCCAGAGACATGTGGCTTTGAAGAAGTGGAGTTAAGAAAAACACTAGTTCAGTTCTGTAGTCCGGAATCAGAAAGATTAACAGATGATCAAAAGCAGTAGAAAAATCTTAGATTCCATCTGTAAATAGTGGCAGTCTCACTATGTGACACCAGTGATAAAAGGTTCTTTCTGGCAGCCACTATAACCTGATCTCCTAAAAATGGGATTATCAAAATCCTTCTAGCCAGGATAACAACAACAATAAAAATGAAAAAAAAAAAAAAAAAAAAAAA